TCGTTACAAAGCAATCCGACGAGCGCAACACCCGCTCGGACCCCGAAGCACCCTCGCATCCCGATCAGCCTCGCGGCACTCTCGCCCTGTCTCCCCTACCTCCCGCCTCCCTCAAACTGTCGTCGCCGGCCCAAGTGAAGTACGAGGAGATCTCCCTCCAGACCCTGCGCCAGAGCCAGAGCCTGAGGAGGGTGCAGGTGAAGAAGGAGTCTCGGAGTCCGAGTCCGAGGATTCTGTTGGGTCCACCTCGCCGACAGCGCTCGCCCCCGCGTCAGCAGTCCCTGACGTACGTAACCCCCCCACCGAACTTCCTTCGGCGCCTTCACCGCCGACTCCGCCGAGAGGCCGCTCGAGCACTCGCTCCTCTCGAAGTTCGACCAGCGGAGGGCCACCACAGCCGCCTCCGCCCCCGCAGCGTCCTCCGTCCCCCCCAACGCCGATAATGTCCTCTCCTGCAGCCGCCCCCGACAAGGAGACTTTAAAACTCCTCCTCCCGCTCCGCTACGATGGCAAGACCGTCATCGAATGCAACCGGTTCTTGTCGCAGCTGCGCATCTACTGGTTGGTCAACACGTCGTTGACCACCATCGAACTCAAGGTGCAGGTCGCCCTTAGCCTGCTCGATGGAGACGCCCGCGCCTGGGCCACTCCCTATTTTGCCCAGCTCGCATCGGTGCAGGTGGGTGTGCAAGGGGCTACAACCCTGTTCGCAAACGAAGCGGCCTTTGCCGCCGCCTTCAGGGCCCGCTTCGGAAATCTCGACGACGAAGCGGCAGCACAAGTAGAGCTGGCGAAGCTCTGCGCGGACAAGTCGGTCCGCGAAAAACGCACCGCTGCGGAGTTCTCCGCGCTGTTCAAGGGTCCGGCGGATCGCTCTGGGTATGGGGACCTGGAGTTACGCGACAAGTACCTGAGCGGCATCCCCTCCCGCGTGTACCGGAAGATCGAGCTCGAGACCTTCACCACGTGGCAAGCAGCTGAGAAGCGCGCCACTGAGGTCGAGCAGATCCTCGACATCAGCCGGGCCCGTCGGCCCGAGCTAAATAACTTCTTCTCGGCCCGAGGTCGAGGACGCGGTGGGATGCGTGGTGGTGCACCCCAGTCACACGCAGCTTCGGCCAGCATCAATGCGGCCGTCGGAAAAGGCAACTTCCCCGGCACATGCTTTGGCTGTGGGAAGCAAGGGTACCGACGTTTCGAGTGCCCCAATTGTAAGGACAAGCCTTACACAAAACGCGCCGACGCGCGGGCTACGGTTGCCTCGGGCTCCACCCAGGCTGCGACAAGCGCCCCCGTCACGACAACACCCTCGGCAAGTATAAGTGCCGCTTCAGCGAAATCCGAGCAATCGGAGCTGGCGGACTTAATGGCACAGGTGAAGT